GGCAGTTACAGAGGAAAACTGGAAGGCTTTCACCAGGCAAGTTGTTTCTTGAGTGACAGAACCAACCAAACCGGATTTGCCCCCCCGATCTGTGCCCGAGCCCCTGCTCCTTCCAGCTCCTCCTCGTGTCCCTCCCCTTCCCATGCTGATGGTGCTGTGTTCCCTTCAAAATTCAAAACACATCCCGTGGTCACCAGAGCATCTCCCTGTTACCTCCAAAAGTAAAAAAGGGTCTTGAATTTGACCTTCTCCCCTCACTCCAAAAGCTGATTATTTCTTTTAAACTTTGGAGGTTTTTGAGATTTCTGGGGCTTAACTTTACAGAACGGGAAAAGGGAGGCAGAGGGATCTGGGGTAAAGAGATAATGCTGCTCCCAAAGGTATCTTCCCTAAAAAAAGAAATCTTCATGGTAGAAAACGTGCAGTACTTACACACGCTCACGGGGTTGCCCACACATATCCTGTGGGGAGAAAAGAGAAATGTGCATCACTCACAACTCTCAGCCACAATCCAGCCCCACATTGGAACACTCCTGACTGTCCTTAGGACAGGAACTGTTTTTGCTGGTGRTCTCCACAGCCTCTGGATTCTCTCCAGGTCCAGTTTTTGTGAGCCTGGGAAGATCCTGGAGCTGCAGAGTTCACCTGSCAGCAGGAACTGCCACGGCCAGAGGCACACAGGAGGGAAAGGTGTCACCCACCTGCTCTCTTCACCCTCCAGCAGAGTCTTGTAGGTGGCAATCTCGATGTCCAGGGCCAGCTTGACGTTGAGCAGCTCCTGGTAGTCCCGCAGCATGCAGGCCAGCTCGTCCTTGGCCTTCTGCAGAGCGTTCTGCAGCTCGATGTGCTTCTCCCGGGCATCTTTGAGGGCGCAGTCCCCACGCTGCTCAACGTCACAAATGGAGGTTTGCAGGCAGGAGACCTGTAAGGGGAGGACAATGGTGCAAGGTTTCCTTTCCTGGTTCCCGGGCACTCTGAGTTTGGATAAATCCAATTGCAAACAGGGAAAACCCACCAGCATCCCATCCCATCCCATCCCATCCCATCCCATCCCATCCCATCCCATCCCATCCCATCCCATCCCATCCCATCCCATCCCATCCCATCCCTCTCCATCCACTTTTCACTTTCCATTCCTCCTAAAGACCACTGTGTCACCTTGCCCTGTGTCTGAGCTGTCCAACTTCTCTGCAAACATCTCCTACCTGCTTCTTGACGCTCTCCAGCTCACACTGCAGCTTCTGGATCATCCGGGTCAGCTCTGAAATCTCACACTTGTTGCTCTGCAGGTCATCACAGTATTTCCCTCTCTTGTCCTGCAGCTCCTGAAACTGGAACCAAGAAACAGGACAGTGGTCACTTTTGGTCTGTGATGTTCCAGGCGCAGACCCAAGGTGGGTTCTTACTCACCCTGGTCTGGTAGAAAGCATCGACTTCCTCTTTGCTCTTCTGGGCGATCTCCTGGTACCAGCACTCGACGTTCTTGATGATGCTCTCCATGTCCAGGTCCCGGTTGTTGTCCATCTTGACGATGACCGAGGTGTCGCAGAGCTGGCGATCGACCTGAGCGCGTTCCTGCGGGTTTATTGAGGAAAATTAACTGTGACATATTTCTGCTTGCTCACAAATTTATGCTCTGTGCCATCATTTACACTTTTTTTTTTTTCTAGAATTACGCTGCAAGTTCTTATTTGTGAAAGTTTATTCTTTGACTTTGTCTGTTCTGGGGCTTTTCCCAAGACTGGGTGCCAGAGCCCTTTCAGATTCACCTCCTGGAAGCCTCTACAGGGAATAAAAAAGGAAAAAATAGTCTGGAAGGGCTCAGTCAGCTCTCTGCACCTCTCAGGCTCTGCAGGGAGGGAAGGGCTGGGGCACGGAGGGATAGAACAAGTCAAGAAATGTCCCTCGGCATGGCTCAGCAGAAAATCCTGCGGCGAGATGAGTAGCCACCTGCGACTGCTGACCTACGTGCTGACCTGCAGCAATTCTGTCCACATCAAGGGCAAGGAATTGCAGTGACTTTACCCTTGGTATCCTCTCATCTCCGGCTGCCTGAGCCGTGTTAATGACAGGACTGAGCTGGGAGTTGCTCTAATCAGGCAGACGCAATCCGGAGGAACGAGACGGACGCATCTTTTCTCCGGGGTAGAGTTAGGACACGGCCAATTCCTACCTGGAGCTGCATGAAGRAGAGGGGGAACCACCCTATCTCCAGCATAATCATGTTAATTTTATATCAGCCTCGTGCTTCCACGCTTTTAATTATTCAGGGCTTGGTATGAGACACGTCCCAGAGGRGTTTCAAGCAGTGGAAATTCGGAGCAGCTGAAGGATGAGACAGGACCACCAAAGTCCTGGGACTCACCTCCTCAAACACACATTTCAGCAGCTCCAGCTGCCTCCTCAGCAGATCCACCTTCACCTCCAGCTCTTCCTTGTTCAAGAAGATGCAGTCTGCATCCTGCAAGAGGGGAGACGCACACATTCCAGCCCAAACCCGGCTGGAAATGTTGGAGAAACACACAGAGGCAGCACCAACAAGACAGAAATGTGTCTCAACAAGATTTCGGGAGCAGAAAGGTGTGAGAGGGTGAGTCAGGATGTCCTGGTGCCTCCTGAAGGGAAATGAAACCATTCCAACACGATTTACAGGAATTAGTTGATTTATCACTCAGGACGCAGCTACAAACCCACAATCAACTAATGAGTATTTAAACRCGATTTTTTTAATATTCTTCAAATGATTCCTGCTTTTCTGATGTCCAAGAATAAAGGATGTGGAGAGACAGCCAGAAATAACCCGGTGTTCCAGTGTGACCTGTCCTGCTCTGTCCCCCTCCCACMCTTCAGGAATGTGTTTGAGGTAACAAAACTGGTGCTGTAGTGCTGATGATGTAAACTTTGAGGAGGCATTATTTTTACTTTCTACTCGCCTTTTCTCTCAACCCTGTGCCTCTTTCTAAGTCTCCCTCCAGCTCATCATAACTCTTTTGTGGGTTTTTGTTCATAATTCACTGCTTGAGCCAGGTTTTGCCCCAAATAAACCTACTACAGGTGTGAGAATTGGTGTATTTTGAGCTTCTCACCTTTTTGAGTGCCACRAACTCATTCTCCACAGTTGTGCGCCTGTTGATTTCCTCTTCATACCTGTTGGAAAAAGAGGAGAAAAGGGCTGAGGAGAGAAAAATGCTCAGACACTCAGACATCAACCATCAGGCATAAACGACAACAACCTCGGGTATAAGTGACAACAACCTCGGGTATAAATGGCAATAACCTCGGGTATAAATGACAACAACCTCGGGTATAAATGACAATAACCTCGGGTATAAATGACAATAACCACCAGGTATAAATGACAGCTCTCCCTTGCACGGGGACTGCCACCAGGCACTACCAGATCAGTGTCTGGAGACTGACATTAAACCATCCCAAGATCAGAAGCTTCTTCCTGAGCAACAACAACATTACCAATGCAAAGAGCTCGCCAGCGAGACAGAAGAATGTGGCACTCCCCGAGGGSAAATGCCACAAGTCTGGGAGAAGTTGCCCAAGATGAACCAGAAAAGCAAAATGCCACCAGCTAGAGGAGCCCAGAAGGTCCTTACTTGCACTTGAACTCCTCCACCAGCTGGCTCGTGGCACATKCTTCRCTGCCCAGCTTCTGCTTTTCGCACAGCAAACAGTCCAGGCGCTTCCGCAGGTCGCAGATGTAATTCTCGAAGTACAATTCCAGGTTTTTCCCTTTTTTTGGCAGCACATATTGCTGCAGGAGGCCCCAYTTGGTCTCCAGCACTTTGTTCTGCTGCTCCAGGAATCGGACCTGAAGGCAAAAAAATAGCAATTCTTCAAGTAAAGAGGTGAAGGCAGGGACTCAACACTTTATTAATTCTCTTCTCTTAACCACCAGAGCAGGAATGGGATTTTTGGGAAGTGAGTGMTGATGATAAGGAACCATGATATGAAAGCTATCAGCCGTTATTTAGAAACCTTTATGTCATGTGTCTGAATCATTCAGAAATCTAGAATTCACACATCTAAACTATTTAGAAATCTAGATGTCATGTCTACATTATTTAAAAGTCAAAGAGTCCCACATTTACATTATTTAGAAATCAAAGAGTCACACATCTACATTATTTACAAATCAAGGAGTCCCATGTCTACATTATTTAGAAATCCAGGACYCCCAGGCTAAATCTGTCTTTCTTACCAATTATTAGGAACAAAACTTCTCCAGATGTATTTTAGGAAAAAATTGAGTCCCCATATTGTGAAACTGCTTTGTCTCTGTTTTTTCTACAAAGGGATCCTTGGGTGACAGCTCAGATTTCATCTCTAACCTTTACATGYCTGGATCAAGATTAACCTCCTTTGCTTTGGGAAAGTTTTTGGAACTGTTGCTATGTTTAAAGTCAAAGAGAAGAGAGAATTATTGGAATTAATTAACACAGGACAGAAAGATAAGCCTGTCAGGGTTGTAATTTCCACCTGAGCTGTAGCAAGAAACCCAGTTTGAACTGAGCCTGTCCAAGAGRAGACACCTGCAAAAAATCCTGTGCAACCATGGCCAGGATTCAAAGACTGTGGGATGGCAGGACATGGACATTGCCGAAATGAGSCCCATTAAAAWGATCTCAATCTGGACCAACATGCTYTTAAAAATATTATTTAAAATTACTGGAATCATCTTAAAATTCCCTGTGGGGAGCTGGAACCTTTCATGGACCCATCTCAGTGATTCACRGCAGAGGTGGGCTGGGGCTTTGGAGAAGGTCGATGGATTTGTGGSATGAGATGAGTTTGGGAAGGGATTATTCAGATTCCATTTTTCCTCAAGGAACAGCAATTCCAGAGCAGATCTGAACTCACCTTATCAATGAAACAGGCAAACTGCGTGTTGAGCGTCTTGATCTGCTCCTTCTCCTGGCAGCGTATCTCGTGTTCCAGCGGGTCCACCCCGACGCAGAGTGGCTTCAGCAGCCGCTCATCGATGCAGATGCCTTGGATGCCGTCGGCTTTRCGCTCGGGGTAACCCCGCACGATGCTGTATCCCCGGGGACCGCACAACCCCATCCTTCCTCCCGCAACGTTCCCGTAGCCCGCTCCTCCAAATCCCATGTCCCCGAAGCAGCCGGTGCCGTAGGAGATCCTCCTGCTGCCRCCCAGGTTGCAGACGCTCCTGCTGCTGTAGGCACCCGCTCCGCAYCGCGCAGGTTGGCTGGCGGACGCGGCGTAGCTTCGACCGCAAATCTCCGAAGCCGAGCTGAAACCTCTTCGTCCCAGGACGGATCTCACCGTGGGCGCCTGCCTGCTCATGGTGGCTTGTTTGAAGGAGGGATAGCAAAGTTATGGGGCTGCTCTGGCTCGGGAGAGGAGCAGGGATCCCACTGGAGCCGACGCGGGGATGCTGCCCCTTTATATATATTTTGGGAAGCCGGCCTTGATAGGATCAGGACGTTAATTTAGGCGCTTAAGGGTTTGGTTTGCCTGGCAGCAATAAATGCTCCTCAAAATGCAAACCAGCCCGGCAAATAGTAACTACTGAGGAAATAAAAAGGAATCTAAAAGTGCTCTGTTTGCAAGTTGCCTTCGAATACATTACGGTTTGAAGTGCTCCCCTAACTTAGTGCTAATTATAGTTTAGCAGCATTTTTGAAGGAACTCTTTGTGATTTGTTTGCAGTGTGTYGTTTGGGGTTTTGTGTCTCATGGAGCTGTGTGTGTGATGGGGTGTTTTGCAGACTTGCACTTCGTGGGGGTAATTTCACAATTTTGGGTGCGGAAAAGTAACTCAAAGGAAAAATAAAAGAAGAAAGTCGGCCGTGGAAAAACAAACACGGTGGAAGTTGTGTTGTGATGGATCATCTCTGCACCTGAAACACCAGTAAATTCACTGGGTTTAAGGTCTGAATTTGTATACGAGGACTCAAAATGTCCCCCAGATACACGGACAGAATTACAGAATACTGGGAATTCTGGGAATTCTGGAAATTCTGGAAATTCTGGGAATGTGCAGAATCCTGGCAATGTACAGTATTTCAAGATGTCCCTCCCTGAAATACCARTGAAACACCTCAGGTTTCATCCAGGATCTGTGACATATTTCTGTTTGCTCACAGATTTATGCTCTGTGTCATCATTTACACTTTTATCTAGAATTATGCTTCAATTTCTTATTTGTGACAAGTCAGTTCTTTGTCTCTGGCTATTCTGGAGCTTCTCCCAAGGCTGGGTGTCGGAGCCCTTTCAGATTCACCTCCTGGAAGTCTCTACAGGGAACAAAAAAGGGAACAATAGTCTGTTGGAGCCTGGTGAGATCCACCCCATTCACCAAGTGRCGGCTGAATTTGGGTGACTTTGCCAGACACGTCCTTGACACTCCCTGGGGAGATGGCTCCGAKGGAAGGAGCCCCCGGGGCTGTGCTTGGGGGGACGGGGTGATTCTCTCTCCACAGGCTTTCTGCACCAGCAGAAGCAGCTTTAATGATTGGATTAGGCTGGACACCAGGGAAGGCTCTGACTCACAGCAGAGAGATGAATCCCTCTCCCTCCTAATCACCAGCCCAAGGAGACAAGAAACCTCTCCAGGCCTTCTCCAAACTGGCAGTTGCAAAGTCAAAACAAAAGGGCTCGTTCAGTGCTTTGTGGATGAAGTATTTGGGAGAAAAAAGGGGATGAAGTATTTGGGAGAAAAAAGGACGTTATAGTGCAAACAGAACACCCTCAGTCGTTCCTTCTGAAGGGAACAATGTTTGGACAAATGCCTGGATTACACAATGGGATGGAAGCTGGAGACACGAAGGTTCTGTGTTCCCTCAACCTCATTAACCCCCTCCAAAAACATTTTCCAAGAGTCAACGTCAGAAAAATCATGCCAAACCTCCTCAAAACACGGAACTTTCTAATATCAACTGGTGGGAAAGAAGATGCACAGGGAAACCATGGGACGTGACTGCAGCCCCATGATCCCCAAAGCCATTAATTGAACTTGTAATTGCAACTTCTGCGAGTTTGAGGGGCTGGTGGTATAAATTAGTTGTGTAAACTGCTACTTTTGCTCTATCCAAAAGGGATAATTCCAGATATTTACAACGTGACGTTCAGATTACAACTTTGTTTACAGTAGTTCAGTCTTGTGGTGCAAACTGGGCTGCCATCACAATTGGAAATATCAGATGAAACCAATATGAGTGGCTCCAAGCCGCAGTTTGGAACTTCCCCAGTCATTGAAGTTCTAAACAGATTTATCAGAAGCAAAATGCAGATTTGACTCCAAAGAAGTGCAGTCATTCAGAGCCCTGAAGAGATAACCAAGCTCATCAGCTGGGCTGAAGATGTTCCCCTGCTCCCTCCCTGTACCCCATTATCCCAGCTGGATGTGTGGGAGACACATGGAATGTAGCAAAGGCTGCAATTAAATGTCTGTGAGACAGCTGTGCTGCAGCAGCCCCAGTTCCCAAACTCGCCAGAGCCACTGGGTTCCTGAGAAGGAAGAGATTTTGGGTGTAAGTTGCTCAGSATTGGGTAAAATTTGTGTGTTGGCCAAATTCCTGTCGTTTCTTCTGGATCCCAGTGGGAGGGCAGCTTCATTTAATGTCTTTTAGGTCTTTCCAAGGAATAATAAGTGGTGCATAAGACTTCAAGAATCACCTATTTGTTTTTGTGAATATGGACGTGGGAAAGGGGAGAGCGCTCTGAAGAAAAACCTGCAGCTTTTTGACTCAAAAAAAAAAAAAAAAAAAAAAAAAAAGCAGAGAGAGAGTGAGGAAACCAAAAAGGAAAATATTTTGATGAGGGGTTGGATGAGTCATTTTGACAACTTGCAATCGCTCCCTTTGTCAGCATTTTGCTCCCTGAATGCGCTGCCGAAAAGGGAATTCATTAGAGGAACACTGGAGTTCACTAATTTGTTTGTTGCCTCTGGAGCTGAATCCGGACGAGCTCTCAGAAGGTGTTTTATGCGATAGCCTCAAAGGGCTCTGTAATTATCCTCAGCCATCCAGAACTCCTCACAGTCAGGTTGGACAATGGCAGGAACCCGCCTGTGCCAACACCATTTGATCCATGTCCCAAAATTGGGACAGAACATGGATTTTTACAGTTTCTTGGGCTGTGCAGACTCTTGTCCAAGTCATTTACAACAYGTCAGAGGACTGATTTGATTACTGCAGCCTCTTTATCCTAAAGCCAGAGTTATCCAAGGGAATTAAATCTGGTCAYGTGTTTCTGCCTCTTAACCTCCCCCTGCTCCRTGTGAGAAGACAAAGCTGGGATTTWYAAGGGGTGTTCCTCATAAAACTCATCAAACACTGGGCCTGGGTGCACTTCCCTCCCTCCTTCAGCCATCAAACTGGCCACGGATTCTAATTTCCTCTTTGAGRCTCCCTCTCTGACTGGTGGAAGGAGATCTGGCATCTCCAGACAGTGATTCATCACCTCCTGAAATAGGCAGCGGAGGCAGGTGGGAGGAATCCACCASTGCAGCTCCTTCCCTCTGTTCTTCCTGAAGACCAGAGGCCGTCTAGACAACCAGACACCRGCCCCGGCGCCCGCTTGGGGAGGTTGAGGGAGGTGAAATGAGTCCCACCCTTTGGGCACTAAATTTCTTCAGCACCTTTGAAGTCCTAATGAGAGCCCCGACATCCCACGCTCCCGGATCCGCTCGGCTCCCAGTGCCGCATCGCGGATCCTGCGATCGGCGGCGTCAGAGCTGAGGCTCCCGACAAAGCAAAGGCTTGGTTTGGTTTTTCCCCTGTTGTTTTTTCCCTCCCACAGTGGAAATGAGTGCGGCGTGTATGGGAATCATGGATCAGGATGGCATYCCACAGCCTGGCCCAGCGAAAAGGTTAGAAAAGAGGAAAAAAGTACCTCAGTTGTTAAATAATTACAAAAATGTCTCTCCACAAGATCGCTGATTCCTTCCAGCTAAGGCTGTTTTCTCGTTGAAGAGATTCCCTGAGCCATCCCAAGGAAGGAATTGCCTGTGGAAGGTGGGAAGCGCATCCAGCCAAAAAGGAGAAAATCTTTTCCTTTTGTTATTCCAAAAGTCAGTGCCCAAATCAAATGTTGGATTGGATTGGATTGGATTGGATTGGATTGGATTGGATTGGATTGGATTGGATTGGATTGGATTGGATTGGATTGGATTGGATTGGATTGGATTGGGATTGGGTTGGGTTGGGTTGGGTTTTGTTTAATTGGGTTGGGTTGGGTTGGATTGGATTGGATTGGGTTGGATTGGGATTGGATTGGATTGGGTTGGGTTGGATTGGATTTGGATTGGATTGGGTGGATTTTATTGGATTGGGTGGATTTTATTGGATTGGGTGGATTTGTGCAGTTTTGGAAGCTGCTGCAGAAGGTCTGAGGTTCAGAGAGGCCAGGTTGAAGTGCAGCACTTGCCAAATCACCTTATCACATCTTGAAATGGTGACAAGGCAGTCTGGAGGTGAGGAAACAACCCCAATTCCGTGTCATCACCCTGATTTATTCTCCCCTTGGAAAAAAAATTGAGACGATGGTCTATTTCCAATGGGAAACCTTTGGAGATCAAAGCCTGCCTAATGAATATTTATACCTGTTTGATTGCTCTTTTCTTGTGAAACCCTTCTTGTGGTTTCCTTCATTAAAGATTGAGCCTGATTTATTTTGTGCTTCTCAAATTTGATTGGGAAATAACTTCTTATCACATGAGAGTGTGGGGGGAGAGGAAGATCTTCCAGTTCAGAATCCAGATAATTTTGGCGAGGAAAGACTTTCCCTCTGGATTTTGCCTTTGGTAAAATGWATCTGTCCAACCAGAGGTTCATTTCTTTGTTGTCCTCTTTCATCAGTTTAATCGCAAAACACTTTAGTGCTTTTTTTTTTTTTATTATTGATTTCATGTTGATTTATGTTACTCATTCCTGGTTTCTTTTTTAATCTGCTCAAATGTACCATGAAACATCTCTCTTTGATCTTTYTGAAAGCCTGAATTGTACTCAGGTGACCTCAAAAATAATGTTGAAAAACCAACCAAGTGCATTCTCTTTTTTTTCCCCCCCCATAATACCTTCTTTCAGCAGATTTAGAAGAGATATTAAAAAACGTGTTTAGTTATCATACATCTGTGGGAGACGCAACATAAAAATACAGAAACTGAGATGATTTTGTTCTGAATTTTAAAACAACCATTGAACTGAAGTAGGAGCCAAATATGGTGCAAAACATCTTAAAAGAGCATTAAATTTACACCAACCAAAGACTGTCTCTACATGATTGGATCCACACTGCCCCAGCCCTGGAAGTCTCCAAGGCCAGGTTGGAATGATCTTGGAGTCACCTGGTCTAGAGAAAGTTGTCCCTCCCCATGGGTGGGTGGAACTGGATGGGTTTTAAGGTTCCTCCCATCCCAAACCATTCCATGGTTCCATGACTCTCTCCAGACAGTTCTGCCTCCTCTGTTTAATTATGACTTCCAATCAATAGACACGTCTTGTGCTGTTAAGGAATGGGCATTTCTGTGCTTTTTGTAAACACCTAAAACCAAACAGTAACATGCTGGTTCTCCATTAATTTTATTGGAAAAGGAGCAAGAGGTTTAAAGCCGTGGAGTCATCCCAGGAGAAGTGAGGGCGGTGTAATTTCTGTGTCCAAGGAGCACAAGTGGAATAATTAATCTTTGCTGACTCCAGAAGGTGGAATTGTGAATTCAGATTTCCTTTATGGCTTCCCTGCCTGCACACGGATGACCAGCCCCACCCAGGATATGGCTGAAGTCCTTCCTTCCTCTCCATGACCCCATATGTCCCACCACAAAACTCCACTCACTCTCCTAAAGCTCCATCACAGACACTTTGATGAGCTCCTTYCCAGGAACACTTCCCRGAGCACTTTAGGGAARATATTCTGGATTAAATCTCASAGTTTGTCCCAGAGATAGCAAAGGYTTCATCAGGAAAAATWAAAGATCCTCATGGGAAGCAGGAGTTGAGTGATAAGAGGATAAGTGCCCCAACAAAACCAACAACCCTTTGAAGAAAGAGTGGAAATCAAAAGGATTTGGGAGATTTTAATGTTCCGAGTGTCCCTTTGTGATGTGATCCCAGCCATGGAGCTTCTCTGATGTGGTTTCCTGATGCTCCAGTGTTCTTGCACCCAAACYGCCTCTCCCTCGTGTTGAGGTGGAGTTGAGGTTATTTTTAGCACTAGAAGTGGAGCAGGACTTTGGTTTTTCTCCTTTAGCCCATAAATCCTGCTTGTCCCAACCCTCACAGCTGAAGTTCAGCTCTGGCTGTCCCTGGGACAAGGTGGGCTAGTTGGAATCCTCACCTGTGGCCCACACATGGCTGAGCAGAGCTTCCCATGCTCTTGGCTCTCCCCACACCCCCCGAGTGCCTGGAGAGGCTGAGCCCCCRTCTCCAGCCCTAAATTCCTCTCTTCTGGGGACGCACCCAGGAGCAGCAAGGATAAATTTCCTGACTGCAGTGCCAGCCACACTTCTGGAGAGGAATCCTCTGTGAGAGGCACAAACRTGAGGGTTTGGGATGCAGCACTGCAGGAGGAGCTGAATCTTTCTGGACTGTCCAGACCCTCATGCCAGCTCAGTCCCAGAGCCAAWGGGAATCACTGYTCTGRGRAAATWTAACRGGGAGGATGCAGCCTCCCTYCTCCTCCTCTTCCTCCTCCTTCTCCCCCTGCCTCCAAGCCAGAGTGRGATGGTTTAATTTGGCAAGGAAAACTGAAATCCCTGATCTTCACACTCTTAGAGAGCTCCTGAGGCACATCCTGGAGCAGAAGGAGGTCGTGAGGTTATCTATGATGGAATGAGCTGTTCTAGCACTTTCCACCCTCCTGGACTCTGTGGAGGAGCCCCAAGGACTGAGCACTGCCCACACACGGCTGTGGTGGGACCCACCTGCTCCCCTCACACTCCAGAAGAGCCTTGTGGGTTGTAATCTCAATATCCARAGCCAGCTTGGCATTCCACAGCTCCTGGGAATTTTGCAGCATCCATGCCAGCTCATCCCTGGCCTTCTGGAGCTCATCCTGCAGCTCATTGTGCCCCCCCAAAGCATCTCTGAGGGCACAACCCCCACACTGCCCAATGTCACCAAGTGATCTTTGCAGGGACAATGCCTGACTTGTGACATTTTGCCTTTCCTGTCTGATTTCTCATCATTCCTACCTTTAAAAGAAAAATTCCTGCCTATTTTGAGATTTCCAAACTGGGGGATATTGAGGTTATTTTTTAGGAAAGACAAATATTTCCAAAATCAATAATCAATTATAAAATACTCCAGGAAGTCTGGACGTGTCCCTGCGCTGCCAGACTGGGTTTGAGTTTTGTTTAGAGGATACCAATACTCTGCCCTAACTGGAACTAATAATTAAGGTTTCCCATTGCTTCCCGTTATAAACTATATAATGAATTAGATGGTCTGGAAATTACACCAGTTTCTATGAGTGCTGAATTACTGGTGAGTCATAATTCTACCTGTTCATTGGATGCTTTGAACCCATGTCCGGAGCCAGAATTCCTGCTGAAGCAATTTCAGCAATTTTCTGAGAGCTGTAGCTAATCCCGTGGTCTAATTTGGTGCAATTAGCTCTTTGCAATAATCAAAAGGATGCAACAGAAAATGGGCTGGGAGATAATCCTGTTCAACACGGGGAAGAGTTTCCCTGCACCGATGGAGCCAGTGTGAGGCAACTCCCTTTGATAAAGATGAAAGAAATGGTGGGATCAGGGAATGGTTTGGSTGGGAACTGGAATGGACTGGGCTCATGCAGTGCCACCCATGCCATGGGACACCTTCTGCCATCCCTGGTGCTCCCAGCTCTGTCCAACCTGGTTTTGGACACCTCCAGGGGTGGAGCAGACACAGCTGCTCTGGGAAATCTATCCCAAGGCCTCATTACCCTCACAGGGAAGAATTTCTTCCTCAAATCTAATAAAAAAACCTTCAGTTTCAAACTATCACCCCTTGCCTCATTGTCACAGGCCGTGCTAAGAAATATCACCGTTTTTTTTATATTTATCCCACAAAGGTGTAGAATACACAGCCTTGGATCCCGTAACATGTAGGATCCAGGGAGTAAATCCAATCCATCCCACCTGTTTCTTCATGTTTTCCAGGTCACATTTTCTCCTCTGGATCACAAAACCCAGCTCTTCCATCTCTCTCTGGTGGGACTTCAGCTTCTTGAAGTGCCTCCACTTTTCCATCTCAAATCCTTGAAATTGTCAGTAAGGAAGGAGAGAGCGGGGAGTTGATACTTGTGATTTCTGTGGGAGCTTTGAGGCACTTTCTGGAGGGAATTAAACTCAGTTTAGAAAAGAAGATTTACAGATTCCAGCAGCAAATGGAACTTTCCTTAACTGGTCAACTCACTTAAAACTCCCCATTCCCAGCACATCCCCCAGCTCTGCGCCTGCTCCAGGGATGTTGTCCCGGCTTTGAGACTCACAGAGTTTATTAGAATGGAAAATTATGTCCAGAAATCACAATGAAGACAGGAAACAAACCCAACCACTTCTGCACTGTTATTTCTCACTGTGAGAAGCTTAAGGAACAGTCACCAGACTCACCTTGGCTCAGTACAACGCTTCCAACTGGGCTTTGMTTTTCCAAGCTCTGTCCTCAGGCTGGCACTCCATGCCCCTGAGGACGTCCCTCATGTCCAGGACTCGACTGCTGTCCATTCTCACAATGACAGAGGTGTCACAGGGATGTTCCTCCAGCTCAGCCTTTTCCTAGAAGCCATGGTAAGTGGTCAGAAGTCACCAGCACATCCCTGTCCTTGGATGTCTCATCTCACATTCCAGTGGAGGTCACTGGGTAGTCAGACTGAACCACAGACCAGGAGTTGAAATGGGGTTTGGTTTATTTTTCTTCAGRTYTCAAAATCTTCCTRTTCTGGGATTCCCAAAAGGAGCCTGATTGGTTAATCTGGTCCAAATCCATATGGACAAGGAGTGGAAGACTGGGTCAGGAGGATCCCTACCTGAGCAGAAACACATTTCAGGAACTTGATCTCCTGCTTCAGGGTTTCCACCTTTGCTTCCAGTGGACACACTCAGCACACTAAAAAAGTTTCCATGCATTTGYGGGTCAAAATGATCCCTACACAAGGATCTAAGGCAATTCCATTATATCTTTGGAGTAAGAAATTTTGTTTGAGAAGCTCAGTTATCTCCTGACCAGCAGCAGCTGAGCGGTTCCCAAGAAGATATTCAGCACTGAAGAGTTCTTGCTGGAAAACCATCATTATTTGGGCATGAGAAAACGACCAGTTAAGAACGAAGTTATTGTCTCAGTGATGTGTTTTTCCACACCCTACATCTGTCCAAGAACTTCTAAGAATCTCTAGATGTGCCCCTTGCCTTGTAAAGAGTGGATCACAGGAAACTCCTTGGATCTCTGCATCCAAGACTTCCATTCATCCCAATTTCTTACCTTCTTCAGCAACACAAAGTCGTTCTTGGCAGCAGCACATCTGTTCATTTCCTGCTCCAATCTGATGGGTATGAGACCAGTCAAGGGGTCATTCCAAGACTGGAGACTTTGTTTGAGTGGTTATTTAGGGGATAGAGTGCTTTGGTTCTCATCCTTTTGGATCTCTGCTCTTTTGATCTCAACCTTTTGGATCTCAACTTGTTGGATCTCAACCTTTTGGATCTCATCCTTTTGGATTTCATCTTCTTCACTCTCAAACTTTTGGATTTCAGGTTTTTGGATCCCAACCTTTTAGGTCTCAGATTTTTGGGTCTCAGCTTTTTGGATCTCATCCTTTTGGATTTCATCTTCTTCACTCTCAAACTTTTGGATCTCAGCCTTTTGGATCTCATGTTTTGGATCTCATCCTTTTGGATCTCATCTTCTTCACTCTCAAACTTCTGAATTTCAGCCTTTTGGATCCCAACCTTTTAGGTCTCAGATTTTTGGGTCCTCAGCTTTTTGGATGTCATCTTTTGGATCTCAGCCTTTTGGATCTCAACCCTTTAAGTCTCAGATTTTTGGGTCTCAGCTTTTTGGATCACAACTTTTTTGATCTCAAATTTTTGGATCTCCTTCTTTTGGATCTCAGCTTTTTGGATCTCAGCTTTTTGGATCTCATCTTCTTCACTCTCAAACTTTTGGATTTCAGCCTTTTAGGTCTCAGATTTTTGGATCTCAGCCTTTTGGATCTCATCTTTTTGGATCTCAGCCTTTTGGATCCCAGATTTTTGCACATCACCCTTTTGGATCTCAGCTCCTTAAGTCTCAGCCTTTTGAACCACAACCTTCAGTATCTCAGTTTTTGGAAGTCTATTGATACGGCCCAAGGCAAGTGTCCCATCAGAGCAGCTCTTGGATCTCCTGCCCCGAGGGTGGTTTCTCCTCACTCACCTGCAGCTGAACTCCTGCTCGAACTTCTTGGAGAGGTTCAGTTCAGGCTCCACCTGGCCCTGTTCCCACCACAGCGGGTCCAGCCCCTGCCACCAGACATTCCTGCTGTCCCCCTGGGCTGGCAGCATTCCTGCTGTCCATTTCCTCAGGACATCCCTGCTGTCCCCCTGGGCTGGCAGCGTTCCTGCTGTCCATTTCCTCAGGACATCCCATTCGGCAGCCAATGCCCCGTTCTGCTGCTCGCCTGCACTCAGAGAGCAAAGCCACCTGTTCAGGTGCACGTTGGGATGGATCCTACTGGGACCAGAGGTGTGGGGGTACAGGGGATCTGCTCCTCTGGGTCTGCCCTCCCCAGGCTCATTGAAAGGGGTCAATGTGACCTTCTTAAGCCACCAATCCACTGGGACGTKTCCCTGCCATGGAAAGGAGTTGGAACTGGATGATCMTTGAGGTTCATCCCAACCCARGGCACACATGATGGGATTGTTGGGGTGTCCTRCAAGGGCCARGAGYTGCACTCAATGATCCTGATGGGTCACTTCCAACTTAGCCTGTTCTCTGAATCTGTGATTCCATAAATCCAGGAATCTTAGAGAAAACTGAGCTCTTCCCTTCTCCAAGGAAGCTCTGGACAGCGCAGACACGTTGGCAGCCACCAAAACACCAAACATTGAAATAAATCTGCATCAATGGGCTGAGAATGGAGACCCCCCCTTCACAGGGGACCATGAGACACAGTCTGGCTGCAGAGAGAAGCCAAAGTGCCAAAGCCCCATCGGACACTGAAGGAACAGCTTCCTCCCACTATCAATAATAAAACCAGATGCACTTCATTGGAGCATTTAAGAGCATAAATCAGAATAAAATCACATAATGGGCTCAACCTGCACTCATGGCACCAGGGTCACACACACCAAAACCAGCTCAAGGCTCATGAACTGCTGTRGAGAAGAAGAGAAATCAAAGTCTGGAGCACCAAAGCCTTCTCTCAKCTCTCACCTTGTTAATCAAAGAGGCTGTGGAGCATTTTCAGCTGCTCGCTTTGCTGCTTTTGGATCCGCTGCTTTTCTGGGTTGATCTTCACATCCAGGGGCTGCAGGATGTGAATCCCTGCTGATCTGCACCAGGTGAGCATCTCCATCTTTGCAGCCCAACCCACTGGTGCCCCAGAGCCCTGAACAAACCCATTTCCACCCCTCTGTGTTTTGGAGGCTCCCACTGTAGCTCCGGGCTCCACAGCCTCTCCCAAAAAATGCCAAAGAAGGAAAAGTGCTGCTTTGGCCGAAGTTCAGCCCAGCAGAAGCAGAGGATGGTGAGAATTTTCTCCCCTTGGAAGTTCTCCCAGCTGACTGTGCTGGAAGACACGATGGAGGAGAGGACACAACACAGAAGGGCCCCTCTGCTCCAACACCTCCTCACTCCTCGTTTGTGCCCATCTCAGGAGTAAGGTTTGGTTGATGAAAAGGAATAATTTGGGCTTTTCCCCCAGTTTGCCCCGAGTTTTCCATGCCTGGCAGCAATTGGGAGGTGTAAATATGCGAAACAAGTGAACATTTGTGAAATCCAATGGAATTTCACTGGGTGAAAAAGTGCGTGGTCAGCTCAGATTCTTCTCTTGGGTTAATTTGTCCTCCTTCCTCACAGCTTAGGAAATKGCCTGGAGAGTGTTTCCTTCTTCCAGGGATGGTGTCCTCTGCCATGGAGATGAGGTGGGAGAGCTGRGRGTGTTCACCTGGAGAAGACAAARAGAGWCTTGAAACCCCTTCCAGTGCYYAAAGGGGCTCCAGGAGAGTGGGAGAGGGACTGGGGACAAGGRGGAATGGGGTCACRCTGYCAGAGGGCAGGGATWGATGGGATATTGGGCAGGAATTCCTCCCTGTGAGGGTGGKGAGGCCCTGGAATGGATTTCCCTCATTCAAGGCGAGGTTTGGCCAAGGCTTGGAGCATCCTGGAAGTGGAAGGTGCCCCTACCTGCRGCAGAGGTKGAATTGAACAAGTTTTGAGTTCCCYYCCAGCCCARTTCCSTGATTCTGTGATTCTCAKYAAGYGTTTGGCTTTGATTGTGTAGATCACATGGAAAACAAAACTCACATGGAGAAGACAATAAAGAGCTTCRAAACCAGGAGGGTCTGCCCCRGGGTTGTTAATTGGACRCTRATTAATCCTTTAATTGGGAGCAGCRGTAAGTTGGCTCTGGTGGGCAGAGCATAAAGGAACCAGCGACCTRCATCCTGCAAAATTCCTTATTAATYCATCTGCTACTCCCTGTCACTATCCTTTATATCAGAGCTTGTAATTAAAACCCTGGAGATAGCTCAAGGCAAATAAAAAGGGATTTATTGGAGTGTCTTGACAGAAGGAGAAGAAAAGGCTGAGAAGTTTCACAGAGGTGCTGAGAGCCCGAGAGGTGGAGCCAAGTTTCCATCTCCGTGCTCGTGGCTTCCTGCCAAAGTCTCTTTCAAAACAAAAAATGGTGAGGGTTTCATTTCAGATCACTCAGAAGAAACAATTTTCCTCCACTCCTCCACCAGATTAACCTGGAACTTTTTCAATGGGCTTAACCTTCAGTTGGTGTTTTTGTGGCATTAAACATTTAAACATTTCAAATCACTGAGCAATGGGATGACATTTCCCCTGCTCATTTCTCGCCTTAGTTTTTCTGGGATTTTTATTTTTTTTTTTTCATTTCCTGGGTTCATCAAGGGAGTTTTTACCACGTTTCACAAGAAAGCTGATTAAGAAAAAAAATCAAGGTTACCGGGAACCTTGCTGGAGTCCTGTCTCCAAGAGCAGCTGATGCCAAAGGTTTCCCTGTACCTCATTATTTGCAAATATTCTTTTCTGGAACACTTTGCCCTCGGCCCTGCAAGGGAGATAATTGATAGGATGAGGCAGCTGGAGAGACAAGCAGCTTAATTAGGGGTTCTTGACAGCGCTATCAATTACACCCACACAGGGCAGCGATTGAAGTCCGGGGTGTTTCACTTAAACACAGGCAGCGTCCGTGGCATTCCCAGCTCGAAGAGCAGGATCAGAGCCCAGGGGAGGACACTTGGCCCGGAGCTGCTGTGACTCGGCTTCATTTTGTGCCTCCAGTTTGTCTCTCCCTGGGCTCTGCTGAMTCCCCCTCCTGCTCCTCCTCGGGTACCCCCAGGACCCTGAACGGGGCTCCCACAGCTCCTGCTTGGAGGCTTCGGTGCCTTTCAAGCAAAGAGTTCACTCAGAGTCTTTATTTCCTTCCTGTGGCCAGAGCCAGCAGGGTCATGGCTGRGTGCAGGCTGTCCTCCCAGAGTAAATTCCAAAAGATCATGCACGGTTTCATTGAGTTTTCTTCCACTTTTTTAAGCCAAACTTCTGAATTTGGGTTTTCACAGCCCTGGATGTCATGGATGGTTCTTCCATTGGCTCAGCCTCTCCTTTTGGCTCCCAGCCCACTTGTCCCCTGATGACCCCAAGCCCCCAAAAGCCACCTGAGGCCACCTGATGCCACCTTTGGGCTGAGGCTTAGAGGTCCCACAACATCACTCCTGCCTGTCTCTCCCAGTTTCACCCCATCCCRCCCAGTTTGCTGCAGGACACAAAATATCTACGCCTCATTTGACAGCAGCAGGTGCCCAAATTTAAAGCACACCAGGTCTTCTCCACTTGTCCCACCCAGCTGGTGGAACTCGGCGTATCTGTGTCAGAGCAGCCACCTTCCTGCAGCTCCCTCCCAGGACAGGGAGGGTTGGATGTGGCACCAGGGTAATCACAGCTCACTGATCCTCTTCTAATCACCAGGAATTTTGGAAAGAGGCCCAGCAATGAGCCCCACAATTTTCGTGGTGCTACAATACAGCCCTGACTAATTTCATGGCTTTTTGCCAAAGTAAATCGGGAGGGAACGTCCTGTTCTGGTCACATCTGCACAGCAACGATGTGAAAAACTCCACCAGTCAGACTGGGAGAACTGGGGCAAAGACCAGCTCCACACCAGTACAGCACAGCCTTTTCCWTCCACTAGATGGTGGTATCTAATGATTCTTGAATATTTTTGTACGTTTGGGATGTTGGTTGGGTTCTTGGTTGTGCCAGGAGCATCCTGGAGAACCCTGGAGCATCCCAAAAAGGGCTGTGAGGATGAGGAGGGGTCTGGAGCAGACAAGGGTTGGTTTGTCCAGCTGGAGAACASGAGTCYGAGGGGCTGCAGCTTCAYCCTGAGGGGCAGCTCGGACCTGGGGACCAGGGACAGGATCCAGGGAACGTCTGGAGCTGTTCAGGAGCATCAGGTTGGATATGAGGAGAAGGTTCTTCCCCCAGAAGGTGGTGGGCACTGACCAGGCTCCCCAGGGAATGGTCACAGCCCCAAGGTATGAAAGCTCCAGGAGCATTTGGACAATCCCACAAGGAGGTGGGATTTTGTAATTAGTGGGATTTTTTGGGTGTCTGTGCAGGACCAGGAGTTGGACTGGATGATCCCTGTGGGTCCCTTCCAGCTCAGGATATTCCATAGTCGAGACTCAGTGGGATGAGCCAATTCACKCCTGGAAACACTCAGGAACCTCCCAGGGTGCCACAAGCAGGAGGCTGTCACAGCAGAGGGAGTCAATATTTAGGACAGCACTCGGACAACGAGGTCCTCGATCCACGGGAGCGGACATTCTCTGTGGGCTCGTGCTCCCAGCCTGACTCAGCCTGGGGTGTTCTGTAAAACACGTGTGAACCTCTGGCTTAAAACCAGCACTGAGAGTCAGCACCAGCTCCAAGGAGAGATGATTTTCCTCCAGCTCCTCCCCATCCCCGCGTCTTCCCCTGTTCTGATTTGAACGAACTCAAATGGGAGCAAAACACTCCCAA